TTAACTTGGTTTAGCATAGTATGTTTTAAATCGAAATTTCGAGCCGAGGTATGTTTTTCTCACCATCCGCCATTTTGAATTTGCGTGACAGCTATTAATTTAGCTGTTAATCAGCTCGCAGCTCATTAGCGTGTCACCCTCCGAACTGTTAACATCTCCGCGCAGTGCAGTGCAACAAATAAGTAAATATTATTTATTTTAAAACAAATCAGTGTCTAAAAAGTGTGTTCCGGTGTGCATCGTGCATTTAAAATGGTGAGTACTTCTTTTTTCATATAATTTTGCGCAATTATTGCGTTTTATTAACAGGATAAGTGACTGCGTCAGGTTCTGATGCAAACGATTTTTGGCGTGTTTTAAAACGTCGTATGCGTGCTGTATTTGTTGATTTACGATAAATATGTGTATGTTTATTTAATATTATTGCACTTTTTCCCATTATTTATTGAGATTTTTGCATTTTTTTCGCAATTTAAAATTTGTGTTTTTGGAAAATCCAAGATGGCGGCCATACCACAACAAATGGTTTTCTTCTGTTTTTAACAATAAAGTGTTTCAACGACGTTTTATTAATAAAAATTTGATAAAGTTTGATATCTTGTATCTAATAGCACTAAAAAATGGGTCTGTACAGTTTTTTTGCAAAAAAAATAACATTGAGTTTTTCTGTCTTGTACCAAAACAAAATGGCGGCCAAACTGTCAACTAACGAAATTTTCAATTGCAATTTTAACATTACAATCGTATCTGCAATAATAATAATATACTGCTGTTTTTATCGTTTTTGGCAACAATAATATAAAATGGACTTTTGCTCATTTTATTATTTGTTGGCGATAAATAGCAACGATATTATTAATGAGACGTTTGCTGTTTTTTTTATTTTTGGCAACGATATTATAAATTGGACGTTTGCTGTTATTATTATTTTTGGCAACGATATCATAATGTTGCTGCTTTTATTATTATTATTCTTTTGACAATGAACAGCAACGATATTATAAATTGAACGTTTGCCGTCTTCAACTAAAATAAACTTGCTACTTTTATTATTTTTGGCAACGATATTATAAATTGGACGTTTGCTGATGTTTTTATTATTTTGGGCGTTGGACAGCACGATATCATAAATTGGACGTTTGCTGCTATTATTAATTTTGAGTATGAACAGCAACTATATTATATACTCTTCTTTTATCTATGACAGCAACGATATTATATATTGGACGTTTGCTGCTTTTAATTAAAATAAAATCTAAACAATAATTATAATTTTTACTATGCTAAATAGTTTTTCTATTAATTAATTGAAGTCTCTTTTAATTACAGATATAGGCCATCATCAGTTACAATGACATCAGAATAGATCATCCAAGATCCTCATCTGGAACATCCAAGATCCTCATCTTCATCATTCATTCTTGATCAAGATCTCCATCAGGTACTAATATATTTAATATTATTGATAGAACATTTGCTGTTTGTATATTATTTTCGGCAACAATATTTTAAATTGGACATTTGCTACTTTTATTATTTTGGCAACGATATTAAAAATTGGACGTTTGCTGCTTTTATCATTTTTGGCAACGATATTATAAATTGGACGTTTGCTGTTTGTATTATTTTGGTCATTAAACAGTAGCAACACAATATTATAAATTGAACGTTTGCTGTTTTTATTATATTTTTGGCAACGATATTATAAATTGGACGTTTGCTGCTTTTATTACTCTTGAGTATGAACAGCAACGACATTATAACTTGGACGTTTGCTACTTTTATTTGAAATAAAATCTAAACAATAATTGCTAAATGCTAAATGCGATGCTAAATAGTTTTTCTATTAATTAATTTAAGTCTCTTTTAATTACAGATATGGGCCAATAATTCATCAAAATGGTACAATGACACCAAAACAGATCTTCTGGAACATCCTCTGTCCTCAATTAGGATCTTCATTGGTGATGGACATTATCAGGTACAGATTTATTACACAATATTATTAATTGCTTGTTTGCTGCCTTTATTATATTTTTGGCAACGATATTATATTAATTGGACGTTTGCTGCTTTTATCATTTTTGGCAACGATATTATGAATGGGACGTTAGCTACTATAGATAAATAAGCATAAGACGTTTGCTACTTTTATTATTTTTGGCAACGGTATTATGAATTGGACGTTTGCTATCTTTGTTCTTTTGATTGTTTCTGGTGATGAACAGCAACGATACATAAATTGGACGTTTGCTGTTTTTATTATTTTGGCAACGATATTATATATTGGACGTTTGCTGATGTTTTTATTATTTTGGGCGTTGGACAGTAACGATATCATAAATTGGACGTTTGCTGCTTTTATTAATTTTGATTATGAACAGCAACGATATTATATATTGAACGTTTGCTGCTTTTAATTGAAATAAAATCTAAACAATAATTAATTTTTATCATGCTAAATAGTTTTTCTCTTAATTAATTTAAGTCTCTTGTAATTACAGATATGGGCCATCAATTCATCAAAATGGTACAATGACATCAACACAGATCTTCTGGAAAATCCAAGGTTTTCAATTAGGATTTTTATTGGTGATGGACATTATCAGGTACAGATTTATTACACAATATTATTAATTGGTCGTTTGCTGTTTTTATTATTTTTGGCAACGATATTATTAATTCGACGTTTGCTGTTTTTATTATTTATTATAAACAGCAACGATATTTTATAAATTGGACGTATGCTGTTTTTATCATTTTTGGCAACAATATTACATATTGGATTTTTGCGGCTTTTATTCTATTTTTGACAACGATATTATTAATTGGACGTTTGCTTCTTTTTATCATTTTTGGCAACGATATTATAAATTGGACGTTTGCTGATTTTATATTATTTTTGACAACGATATTATAAATTGGTCGTTTGCTGCTTTTATATTATTTTTGGACTAACGATATTATAAATTGTATTTATTATTTTTGAGTATGAACAGCAATATGAAATTATAAATTGGACGTTTGCTGTTCTCAACAAAAATAAAATCAAAACAATAATTAACTATTACTATTTTAAATAGTAATTCCATTAATTAATTTAAGTCTCTTTTAATTTCAGATATGGGCCATCATCAGATACAATGATATCAAAATAGATCTTCTGAAACATCCAAGGTCCTCAATTAGGTTTATCATCAGTGATGGACATTATCAGGTATAAATATATTTCACAATATTATTAATTTGTTGTTTAATGTTTTTATTATTTTATCTGGCAATTATATTATAAATTGGACGTTTGCTGTTTTTATTATTTTTGAGTATGAACAGCAACGATATTATAAATTGGACTTTTGCTGCTTTTATTTCTGGTAATGAACAGCAACGATATTATAAGTTGGACGTTTGCTGCTTTTATTATATTTTTGGCAACGATATTATTAATTGCACGTTTACTGCTGTATTTTAGGCGATGAACAGCAACGATATTGTAAATTGCATTATCTGGCAATGATATTATAAATTGGACGTTTGCTGTTTTTATTATTTTTGAGTATGAACAGCAACGATATTATAAATTGGACTTTTGCTGCTTTTATTTCTGGTAATGAACAGCAACGATATTATAAGTTGGACGTTTGCTGCTTTTATTATATTTTTGGCAACGATATTATTAATTGCACGTTTACTGCTGTATTTTAGGCGATGAACAGCAACGATATTGTAAATTGGACGTTTGCTGTTCTCAACTGAAATACAATCTAAACAATAAATAATTATAATTATTACTATTAATTATTACTATTTTAAATAGTAATTCCGTTAATTGATTTAAGTCTCTTTTAATTACAGATATGGGCCAACAATTTATCAAAATGGTACAATGATATCAAAACAGATCTTCTGGAAAATCCAAGGTCCTCAAATAGGATCTTCATTGGTGATGGACATTATCAGGTACAGATTTATTACACAATATTATTAATTAGTCGTTTGCTGTTTTATTATTTCTGGCAACGACATTATTAATTGGACGTTTGCTACTTTTATATTATTTATGGAAACGATATTATTAATTGGACGTTTGCTGTTTTTATTATTTTTGAGTATAAACAGCAACAACATTATAAGTTGGACGTTTGCTGCTTTTATATTATTTTTTAACAGCAACGATATTATTAATTGGACGTTTGCTGTTCTTATTATTTTGGGCTTCTATATATTGGATTCTATAAATTGGACGTTTGCTGCTTCCAACATAAATAAAATCTAAGCAATAAATAATAATACTATGCTAATAGTATAATATTTATAATACAATACTATAGTATTGTGTATAGTTATAGTAATTTCATTAAATAATTTAAGTCTCTTTTAATTACAGATATGGGCTATCATCTGATACAATGAAATCAAAACAGATCCTCCAGAACATCCAAAGTGCTCAATTAGGATCATCCTCATTCAGGACCATCAGGAACAAATGCTATAAGCTTTTTTTTAAATGTTTACAAATTCAATTTACTACAAGCATTTTTTAATATCAGTATATGTTTTTACAGTAACACTTTTTAGGTACTGCAAAAGAAAACCAAAGGGTCATTAAACTAATTAATAATTAAATACTAATTTAGTCAAAAACACTTAACACAACATTATTAGGAAGAGATTGGATACAATTAGGAATTTCAATATGAATAGAAGATTTATATAGAATTATATAGAAGATTTATATATAATATTTATAGAAAGTCCAAAATAATGCAGATAAATATATATTAATTTTTGTTTTTGAATATATAATCATAACTGAAGATTTAAAAAATTATGACAAGTGTTGCCAACCTAACCTACTAAACACATATGTTTCTAACTTCAGTTTGGATTCTAAAGTTGTCAAAATCAATCTATTTACAAATAAATTCAAAAACAAATCATTTTATATAGTTTATTAAATAATTATTTATATTAATCTCTATTTTATCAACCAAAACAGTGGCATTATATTTATTTATATAATAAAATTACTTAACACCAATTGTCAAAATGAATGCTGATGATAGTGATCAACAATTCTGTTTGAAATGGAAAACCTTTCCTTCTAGTTTGTCTTCACAATTTAAGACTTTAATAGATAATGAAGACTTTGTTGATGTCACTATTGCTTGTGCAGGAAGTCTTGTGGGGGCGCACAAACTTGTGCTATCTGCTTGTAGTCCTTACTTTAGGACCATATTTAAGGTAAAGAATTTTATAAAAAACTAGCCAAAAGTCAGGTTAAACTTTGGAAACATTTTTGATTTGCACTAGAATTAGCAAAACGAATTTACAAAAGACTGAGCTCATCGTATATGCCACTTCTCCATTTGTAAATTGTTAATAGTCCAATTTATTTTTAATGCATTTTGTATTTAATACAGAAAACACTTTGTTGATGTCACTGTGCTATCTACTCTAAAATTGTCAAAATTGAGCTATCTACTTTAGAACAATATTTTGTATTTTCTTCCTTTATTATTCTCAATTTCTTTTCTAGAACAACCCTTGCCAACACCCAGTATTATTATTACTCGATGTAGAAGCAAAGCATATAAAGGCATTACTTCAATTTGTGTATTGTGGAGAGGTTGACATTTCTCGAAGTGATTTGCCACAGTTTTTACAAATTGCTGAACATTTGCAAATTAGAGGACTTGCTGATAAAAATCAAGAAACAATAAATGAGGTAAAGGGATTAAATGACAATGAATTTTTATTAATGGAGCAAATTTATGTTTTTGTAAATTAGTCAAAAATCAAGGAACTTGTCAATTATTATATTGATTCCTATTACAGCCAATTGAAACACTAATTCAAGAAAGAGTCTTTCTCCAATCACAATCTTCTGCGACACCTAAAGAATATTTGGAAGAGCATGAAACTACAAATTCTACTAAAGTTGGCAGTGAAGTTTCAAATGAACTTTCACCGGTTCCAAGTGCCAGTGGTGATAAAAATCGAATAAAACCTGGTGTACCTAAGGATGAAGTTATTGAACCTTGTTCTGATGAAATGGATGAACTCATAATACCTAAAATTGAGATGGAGGCTGATGATGTGGGTATGTCGATGGAGGAAATGGAAGACAATAATTTGGTTAATTTTCCGGATCACTTGACACCAGGTAAGAGAAATATATAGAAGCATATACATTTACACACCCATATAGTATATATATATATATATATATATATATATGTGTGTATATGTATGTATGTATTATGATTTTATTATTCAGAACTCAGTCTAATTTTTAAAATTTGTCATCTACCAATGATTACCATTATTTATTTTTGCCATGCTAACTTTATTAGATAGTTAAAAATGTATCAGCGAAACTTAAAGTATCACAGAAACATTTTTTTTTTGTCAAAACTCCCGAAAAACACTATTTTTTATAGGATTTAGTCAATTTCGGGAAAATTTGGTCACTGAAATGCCTAGCTTTAGCTTGGGCAAAACTATAAATCCAAAAAATTCAGCTCATACACTAAAAGTAATGTACACTGCTGAAAGAAAGAAAGTAAGAAGAATGTGCACTGGATGTTACGCTCAACTAAAAGAAGCAGAAGGTCGAGAAGCAGCTAGAAACAAAGGAAAAAAAGTTTCAACCTACTGCTCAGACTGCGAACAACAGCCCTTTTTTTGCTTAGAATGTTTTGGACAGCATAATAAATCAATATAATTAATTATATTAAGATGAAAATGATTAAAATGTATTTTTTCAACTGAAACAAATACAAAAATGGTAAGAACAGTATGATAAAAAAAATTTAAATGATAGGATTATGTATATTTTGTTTCAAGTATAAAGTAAATTTATAAGTGCTTTTAATAAAAACTAGTTATATGAATTCATAGATATCATTAAATTTAGTTTCTTAATTTCTAATTAGTAATTTTTAAATTACTAGAAAAAAAATTGCTTGCAAAAATATATTGCTCATTTTTTTAAAAAAAAAATTTTTTATTATTTGACAATCTAGCAATCAATCAATTAATCAATCTATAAGTTAAAATGAGGGTATTGAAAATCAAAATTCATTTATTTAAAAGTTTTTTTGTCATACAGTTTTTACTAAATTATTCAATAATATAGTTTAAAAATGTTTTATTTCTTGATAGAAAAAACTGGATGAAGCAACATATCTAGTTTCCAAACGTCTTAATTATACATCTATTGAAAATAATAATTTTTATTTTATTTTTTTGAACTAGTTGTTTGAAAATAAATATGAGTGGAATATCCAGGATTCATTTCATATATATATATATATATATATATATATATATATATATAATATAGAATTTTGTGATATGAGTGGAAAGAATATTAAATGTTAAATATGAACAACACAACACTTAGATTTTTATCACACACTTTATTTAGTAATTACAGACGTTTCGAGACCATGGTATGCCTCATCTTCAGTGTAATTTCAAAAACAGTTAATAATATACTACACATTCTTTAATATTTTATTTAAATTACATTTATTTTTTGATAATACAAAAAACACCAACTATTACTGCAAAGCTTGACACAGTACTAAAACATGTGTTTTTTGTATTATCAAAAACAACTGGGAAGAGGGCCCAGTTGGACCTGTTAACACATAGTGCTATTTTAGATTTTCATATTTTAGATTTTATATTATAATACACTGATGATGAGACAAACCTAGTCTCGAAAAGTTTGTAAAATTAATTTTATTTAATAAATTAGTGCAAAAAAAAAGTACTGTTTGTTCATATTTCTAAATTAATATCTGAACACTCAGAATACATTTCTTATATATATACATATATAAGCCCTATTTTCTCTTCTTTTGTAGATCTGAGAGAGTTCTCAAACTCTATCTTGCAGCGAACCATAACTGGATCTAATAACACCTGCCGAATGTGTGGCCAAGTGTACTCGAACCGTTCCAATCTCAAACAACACATTAGTCTTATCCACAGTCCTGAATCAGTGGCCTGTCCCATATGCCAAAAACCATTTAAAACAAAACTCTACCTCCGTAGACACCTCAAATCCTTTCACCATGCCAAACTGGTGCAGAAGAACAATTTTGATATGTTGCCACAGAATGGTGGATTGGTACCGAGTAATATTAGGACTGAGGTAGGTAATGGGTTTGTACACCAGGATAATAGGCAAAAGTTAGATCGGAATGTGGCAAGTGATCAAAGTCTGAATTGTAGACAAGCGCAGTATGGTAGTTCATTACAAACCGGTATGGTACTTAATTATAATGGATCGAATGATTATTTAATGATGAGTAATAATAATACACTGGTTTGTACTAATTTAATTGGAGTGCAAAAGGTGGTGCAAAATTGAAGTTTTGATTAATTTTTTGGTTACTTAAGATGGTATTCTGGTCTAAGAGTATGAATTTTTTGCGATATTTTTTACGGTTTTTTGCGATTTCTTAAAGGCTTTAAGAAACAAGTAAACAATATTGTTGCGATGTATGTTTTTGCGAAAAAATCCCATTTACCAGTTTTATGTTTTCTCGACGTTTCAACTCATTCTGAATCGAATGAGATCAAATTGATTTTTAGTGAAGATAGCCTAAGACGTTTCTTCGTAATTGCAGATTGTTTTGTTGATTATTATAGCCGAACAACTTTCCAGAAATCTTCTTTTACACATATTCTTAAATAGTTAAACTTTAAAAGTTTTGAGAAAAATCGACTTCTTAAAAATTTTGGACCAGAGTACTCCCTTGAGTTGATCCTTTTTTGTGATACTGTACCCGAGAGACTTTATCGTTGTACTTCTTCTTATTTAAATTAACTTATATTAGACTTGAAACTTTAAAAAAACATAGTTAAGAAATTGGATTTTCTAGCCAAAACGTAAACTTTACCTTTGGGAAGTTAAAAAAAAAAATTATTAGTTGATAAAAATAGTCCTCTGAAATTTTACTTACCATCTGTGGTACTAAATTTAACTTAAAAGTATTATTGCAAAATATTTTATTTATCTGTGACGAGTTTTATTATAAAAAAAAAAAACTGTGGATTAAATACAAACACAGTTTATACTCAGTAAACAACAAACATTCAATTTAGTTAAAATAATGTAGCACAGAAGAAACGTCGTTACGTATTTGACGGTAACGTTACGGTTAATCAAACGTAAATGTTACGTATAGTTGTAACCTTTAATCGGCCTCAACGTTGATACTTCGTTTTTGTTCAACGTTGATACAGTTACGAAATAGAGACGTCTGTGTGCCTTCTAGATTACGTAACCGTTATCTTCGACATTATAGATGTTACGTTATATTAACGTGTTAATTACGGTTTGTGGTTTACTGGGATATATTATTTAATTAAATTTATTTTTAATGTGATTTTAAAACAAATATTAGCCATTAGAAATAAAAACTTATTTCTAACATTGTCAAAACGTTGCAATAGAACTGGTGATATTTACTCGCAACTCAGGTTTTAATTAAACAGAAAATATTTATTGATAAATGCAAACTGATGCTTTAAAATAATTTTGCCAATACTGTATAAGCATTTTAGCTCAGAAAGATTATTGAATATTTTAGAAAACACTTTAATATTTCATGAGGTTACAGCAATGCATTTGAATCAGGTTTGATACCCACTTCGGACAGCCTGATCTCAAGCAGTAGAGAGTCGAGAACCAATAATAAATTCTTCACATACAGACAGGAAAACCGTTTGGGTTGCCATCTTTAAAAGCCACGTCGTTAAGTAGTCTTCACATCAGCTTTTGGACTCATTATAAGTTTTGATTGCTGTTAGTAATGTTTATAAAAAGTATCTATTACTCTTTTCCTCTTCAAAAGTGTTTTCTGAAATATTCATAAATCTTCTCTCGAGCTATACAACAATAGTTTTAATTTAAACTGGACCTCACAATTACACAAAATACCTCATAATAAGCCTCAACAATAAACGTAAAGACAGTGTTATTGTATAATAAGATAAATAAATACTTAAAACAGGATTTTTATTAGTATAATCTTTAAATTGAACTTCTAATTCCAAAAACTATTGAACTTCTAATTCCAAATATGTGGCTTACTATTTATTTATTATTTATTTAGACGATTTTTCCCGGAAAAACACCGGGAAAGGAATTATTCATAAATAATATTGGAATTTGTTAATTATTTAGACCTAATTGGAATTATAATTTAAACTTTATTAATTAATAAAGTATTTTTTTATAAAAGTGAAACTTCTAATGCGACTTCCAACTAGGTTTCGTTAAACATTCGACGTTTACTAAAAGTCACCTTCCTATTATAAAGTTGTAGATTATCTGAAAATGTTGTGAACTATTGTCTGAATATGTTGCAGTATCTGTGAATGTTGCAGATTGTCTGAGAATGTTGCAGTTTTACTGACAATGTTGAGGAATTTTTGAGTGTGTTGTAACTGAGGTTTGAGAATGTTGCAAATATTATGAAAATGTTGTACATTGTCTGTAAATATTGTAGATTTTCTAAAAATGTTGCAGTTTCTCTGGCAATCTTGAAGATTTTTTGAGAATGTTGTAGTTGGTCTGAGGATGTTGTAGATTGTCTGAGAATGCTGCAAATAGAATGAAAATGTTGCCAATAGTATGAAAATGTTGCAGTTTGTCTGTTGTAGATTTTCTAAAAATGTTGCAGTTTTTCTGACAATGTTGAAGATTTTTTGAGAGTGTTGTAGTTGGTCTGAGAATGTTGCAGATGGCATGAAAATGTTGTACATTGTTTGTAAATGTTGTAGATTGTTTATAATAATTTTGCAGTTCTTCTGACAATCTTGAGGATTTTTTGACAATGTTGTAGATTGTCTGAGATTGTTGCAATTAGTATAAATATATTGTATATTCTCTGTAAATGTTGTCGATTGTTCGAGAATGTTGCAATTTTACTGACAATTAATATTGAAGACTATTTGAGAGTGTTGTAGTGGATCTGAGAATGTTGTAGATTGTCTGAGAATGTTGCAAATGGCATGAAAATGTTGTACATTGTCTGTAATGTTGTAGATTGTCTGAGAATATTGCAGATTTTCTGACAATGAGAACATTATGTGAGAGTGTTTATAGTTGATTGATAATTTAAGAATGTTGCAGATTGTCTGACAATGTTGCAAATAGTATGAAAATGTTGTACGTTACCTGTAAATTTTATAGATTTGAGAGAGTTGTAGTCGGTCTGAGAATGTTGTAGATTGTCTGAAGATCTTGTAGCTTGCCTGAGACTGTTGTTGATGGTAAAAATGTTGCATATTGGCTCAGAATGATCCAATTTGTCTGAAAATGTTGTATATTGTCTCAGAATGACGTGGATTGTTTGAAAATGTTTTATTACATCTCAGAATGATATAATTTGTCTGAAAATGGTGTATATTGTCTCAGAATGATTTAATTTGTCTGAAAATGGTGTAAATTGTCTCAGAATGATGTAATTTGTCTGAAAATATTGTATATCGTCTGAAAATGTTATATATTATTTCAGAATGTTGTAATTTGTCTGAAAATGGTGTATATTGTCTCAGATTGTTGTGATTTGTCTGAAAATATTGTAGATTGTCTGAAAATGTTGTATATTGTCTCAGAATGTTGTAATTTGTCTGAAAATGGTGTATATTGTCTCAGTGTGATAAAATTTGTCTGAAAATGGTGTATATTGTCTGAGAATGTTGTAGATTGTCTGAGAATTATTGTAATTAATATTGAAAAAATATAACTCAAACATTTCATATCTTACTACTAAAAATCAATTACTATTTTCATTTACACATTACGAAGTTTTACTTTTATACAAAATACTCACACTTATTGGTAATAAACATTCATTTTTTACTTTTATGAATATTTTTTTCAATTTTTTTTTCAAATTTTACTGACTTTTGTCTATAACGTTGGCAACCATTAACCATGTGCAGCTAATTTCTCTGCAATGCAGTTTGACAGTTCGCGTTGTTAACCTCGTACATGCACATTGTGTATAATAATTAACAATCAATAAAAAATTGTGATAAAACTTTAATTATTTATTAAAGTAAACGTGGGTAGTATAAATATACTTTGTCCCCAACTATGCAACTTATGTGTCATATTGTACAATATTCATTATAGTTCTTAGGTTAAGATTTATCATGTCTTTATACAAACCAAAGTCTTGCCTGCACATATTCTCAAAACAACACATCCTCAGACAACTAAACTATGTCAATTACCGAAAATTTTGCAAAGACGAAAAGCCCACAGACACTCCTCTAAAAAATCTGCTAGAAAATGCAGCATCTTTCGAAGATGCCAAACCACAAGTGCCAGAAGACGAATGGGCTACTCTACCATACCCTGAGGGGGCGAAAATTAATAGAGATCAATCTGCAAAAGCCCTAAGACCCTCCCTCGATCCCAGAGAGACTTCGATAATATGTTTCCCTGGACAGGGAAATCAGTTTGTGGGAATGGGGAAGAACTTGTATAAATATCCATTGGTTAAAGATATGTTTGAGATGGCTAATGATATATTAAAGTAAGATATAATACACATTAAGATGAATATTACACATTAATAATATTATTTTTAATTCTAGATATGATTTAAAAAAAATATGTTTTCAAGGACCGCAAAGTGAATTAAACAAAACAGTACATTGTCAGCCGGCTACATTTATTACATCTTTAGCTGCTTTAGAAAAATTAAAGGTAAAATAATTTTTTTTTTTTGATTTAATAGAAAGAGTACATCAAAATTTTCTTACCACATACAGAAATATAATGCATTAGTCTTATTAATTTATATATATATATATATATATATATCATTTACTAATATTCAATTAAACCAGGAAGAAAGACCGAATGCAATTGATTCTTGTGTTGCGACTGCTGGCTACAGTTTGGGGGAGATCACAGCGTTAGTCTTTGCTGGGGCCATACCATTTGATAAAGGTAATTATATATCTTTACATGTAAATAAAATTTAAGCATGTTTTTGTAGTATTGTATTAACTATTTTTTTATTACATGCAAATTAACTTCTTTTAAAATTTTTGTCTGTTTGGGCTAATCTCTGAAACGGCTGAACAAGATTTTGATTGAACTTAACTGATGTAATTTGATGTAACTTCGGTCACTTTTGTTTTAGAAAAAAGTGTCTGATATTATTTTATCTTATGTTATATTATCTCATATGAGATTTTGTTTGCATGAAATATTAAAAGAAATTAATTGGTATGGTTTTTGCTTTTTATATGATCTTATCATAATTTAAAATATTTTAATAATCTTATACCTTAAATTTTAATTCAAACTCTCTTGTTATATTTATATTAATTATGAATTAAGTAATCATGTTCAATATTCATTTACATTGAAATTGATCAATTATTTACATATTATTTTATTTTGCTCGAATATATATTTATAGGTTGGATTTTACATTTTATAAGTATACACCAATTAGTCATGCTTAAAAGAAAGTCAAATCTCTCTAAAAAAAATAAGAAAGGCAAAAGTTTTACTGCAATAACTCAATAGGCACTTCTTTTGAGCACAACTAAATTGTGCTTACATTTAAAAAATGAAAAATCCAACCTATAAATATATATTTGAGCAAATAATATGTAAAAATAAAATATGTTTTGATCAATTTCAATGTAAATCTGAATATGATTTATAATTATTATAAATATAATAAAATAGTATGAATTAAAATATAATATATAAGAATATATATACGATTATTAAAATTCTTTGAATTGTGATAAGATCAGATAAAAAGCAAAACTCATACCAATTAATTTCTTATAATATTTCATGCAAACAATGTCTCAGATGGGTTAAACTTAAAAAAAACATCATTCTGATACAATATACACCATTTTCAGACAAATTACACAATTTAGAGGCAACATTTTGAAACAAATTGCTTCATTCCGAGACATAATGCAACATTTTCAAACAATCTACGACATTCTCAGACAATCTACAACATTCTGAGACTATTTACAATGATTTCAAACAAACAACAAGTTACAACGTTCTGAGGCAATTTACAACATTTTCAGATAAATTACAGTATTCTAACATAATATTCAGCTTTTTCAGATAAATTACAACATTCTGAGACCATATACAACATTTTCAGACAAGTGACAACATTCTGAGACAATATACAATATTTTCAGACAAATTACATCATTCTGAGACATAATGCAACATTTTCAAATAATCCACGACATTCTCAAACAATCTACAACATTTTGGGACAATTTACAATGTTTTCAAACAAGTTACAACATTCTGAGATAATATACAAAATTTTCAGACAAATTACAGCATTCAAATAAAATATACAGCATTTTCAGACAAATTACAACATTCTGAGACAATATACGCCATTTTCAAACAAATTACATGATTCAGAGACAATATGCAACATTTTCAGACAAATTATAACATTCTGAGACAATATACAACATTCTCAGACAAATTACAACATTCTGGGACAATATACACCATTTTCAGACAAATTATAACATTATGAGACAATATACAACATTCTCAGACAAATTACAACATCCTGAGACAATATACATCATTTTCATACAAATTATAACATTCTGAGACAATATAAAACATTCTCAGACAAATTACAACATTCGGAGACAATATACACATTTTTTTAGAAAAATTTCGTCATTCTGAGACAATATACAACATTTTCAGACAAATTACAACATCCTGAGACAATATACATCATTTTCAGACAAATTATAACATTCTGAGACAATATACAACATTTTCATACTAATTACATCATTCTGAGACAATATATAACATTTTAAGACAATCTACTACATTCTCAAACATTCTTCAGAATTCATTCTTAACAGGCATCAGAAATAATAATAAAAAAAATAATAAAATATTTCTGGATGCTCGTTAATTTTAAAGTTTTTTATTTATCAACATATTTATCACCATTTGAAGAAAATATTATTATATATATTATTATTTATTCTATTTTATTTATTTATTTATTCAACAACCAAGGTAATAATTCAATATAATTACATTTTAAAGTGTACAAATTATAAACTAAAGATATTATGTGAGAATATTTGAGAATTAAGAGTTCATAGAGAGCTTTGTATATAACACTTAATATAAACTACAAATATATAACATTAAATAAAAACTATTAAACTTAAACATTTAATTAACTATAAATCACTACTTAAAACAGTCTTTTAAGGATTAAATATCATTATATTTTTATATGATATATATTATCATATATTTATAATATTATATTATATATATATATATATATATATATATATATATATATAAATTACAATTTATTAATTTCTTTTCTTTCTAGGTTTGCGTCTTGTTCAGATCCGAGCAGAAGCAATGCAAATGGCCAGCGAGATGGTTTCAGGAGGCATGATGGTCGTCATGTATGGTCCTGATTCTAAAATTGGTAAAGCATGTTTAGATGCTATTGAGCATTGTAAAACAAAAGACTTGGAACACATCGACTGTCGGATAGCAAGTTTTATGTACCCCCACTGTAAAGTAATTGCTGGAAACACTGAGGTAAGGGTAAAGGAAATATTAGTAAGTAATTAATAGGATTAGAAAATGTAGTTAAATGAAGACACAAGATTTTTCTATTTTGCTCAAAAGTATTAGTTTGGTAAGTGGTCATTCACATTCCTTGGATATGTTATACTATAATATGTCTATTATTTTTTTTATTATGTTTTTGTTATCATCTTTTTTATTTACAACTGTCCAGTTAAGGACATTTAATAAATTTGATGAATTTTTAATAGTCGGCCAAAAAGGGACATTGTATACTAAAAGGGCATGTTGCAAAAACAACTCAGTATTTGTTTTTCCATTTGATATAAAATTCACAATATTTTATTGATAATTATATAATTTTAACTATTTACTTATAAAATAATTTCTACATGTCTATTATGATGACAAATACTAAAATTAATGATGCTTTATGGAATTTACATAATATTAATGATTTTCTTTAAAAAATAACATAAATGTTGCATAGAGCTTGATAAACGTTTGAGTTGTAAGATAACTTTTCAATTATAGTATTTGTCATTGTAATAGATAGCAGACATATTTAGATGTAACATGTTCAAATTACAGCACTGTTGTGCAAACGGTGTGGCCTGAAAACGGTGTGGCTCCTTAAAAGTGACATTTGCGTTTTTGAATGAATATAAATACTAATATTATTATTATTATTATTATTATTATTATTATTATTTTTATTATTATTATTATTATTATTATCTTACTATTTCTATTATTGTTATTTTGTTATATTTTATTATTTTTCTAGTATTATTTTATCATTCAGAAATTTTATTTATATTATTTATTAATTTTATTTTTATTATTATTTGCTTATATTTTATATCAAATCATATTACGGATATTATTTTCATGTAAATTTTATTCTTTGCACTTTTATTTATTTAAATTTATGTTATTATTTATCAATATTACTTGATGTTAATAATTTAGCAGTTGTAATAATTATTGAAAATATAAAAAAAAAAAATACTGTGCAAGTTATATCAGACAATTGTTAATATCTTAAAATTTTGTAAGATAACTTATCAATTTTAGTATTTGTGGCCGTAGCAGACGTATTTAGATATAACATGTCCAAATTATAACATTATTGTGCAAACGGTATACCCTGGAAAGCTCCTTAAAAATGACATTTGGGTTTTTGTATAATTATAAATACTATGCAAGTTATATCAGATAATTGTTAATATGTTAAAATTTTGTAAGATATCTTATCAATTTTCGTATTTTTGTTAAAAGTAGACATATTTTGATATAACATGTTCAAATTACAACATTGTTGTGCAAACGGGTTGCCCTGAAAAGCTTCTTAAAAGTGACATTCAGGTTTTTGTATGATTATAAATACTATAAAAGTTATATCACATAATTGCTAATATTTTAAAATTTTGTAAGATAACTCATCAATTTTAGTATTTGTGGTCATAGTAGACATATTTAGATATAACATGTCCAAATTACAACATTGTTGTGCAATAAGTGTGCCCTGTGAAGCTCCTTAAAAGTGACATGTGGGTTTTTGTACTATTATAAATATTATGCAAGTTATATCAGATAATTGTTAATATCTTAAAATTTTGTAAAATTCTTGACAAGAACCTGAAATAATATCTATTATTATTGATTACGGCTTGCTTATGAATAAATAAATAAATAACTTATCAATTTTAGTATTTGTGGTCAAAATAAATACTAAAATTAATAAGTTATCTTACAAAATTATAAAATGTTATCTAACATAACTGTACTGTAATAAATTTTAATTTGTTAATAATAATTATTATTATAAAATTATCATCATAAAAATAATTTATTAACCTGGTTAAGACGACTGTGCTTGATATGATTTCTCCTCTTTGCTACTATGCTTTATTGCTTAAGACGCGTTTTTGGCTTGTCTTAACGCGGTTTTACTATATTTATTACATTTATTTATTATTACAGGCATTACAATTCATAGAAGAACACATGAAAGATTATAAAATACGAAGAGTGAAAAAAGTGCAAGTCTCAGGGGCCTTTCACACACAATTGATGCTTCCGGCTATTGAGCCTTTTAAAAAGGCTCTGAAGAAAATCACTTTGGAGCTACCGATTATACCAGTTTATTCAAATGTTGATGGAAAACATTATAAAAATATTACACATATTGAAAAACAATTGCCAAAACAGGTAAAGGATGAAAGATTTATGGATCTATATTTATAAAAACGTATTTCTGATAATAATAGATAAAAATATATTTATATAATAATTAATTTTTAATGGGATAAGATTAATTAGATGTAAATATGTGTGTGTGTGTGTGTGTGTGTAGAATGTTTTTTATGTGTGCTCGGATACAATTTTTTGTCAATGATTTTGAGAGCACCCTATTAGAATGATTCTATAAATATTGTACTAGAGAATGTATGTATGTGCGGATTCAATTTTTTGTCATCAATTTTGAAAGGACCGAGCATCCGATTATAGTGATTATAGTCATTTAAAAAAGTGCTATTTATTTATGAACAAAGGATTATTACAAATCATTAGTATTATTTTATTTTCCAAATTGAATTATTGGTAAACAGGTAAACAGATTGGCAGATAGAGGTAGACAAATGATAGATGGAAAGATTTTACTTTAATTGCCTTAAGGAAAACTGTAACATCTAGTTTATTAATTTATATTTTTAAAGAAAGGGAATATAAAAAGACAGATCGCAAATTGTTAGAAAATGTAGCAGATTATCTGAGATTGTCTGAAAGTGTGGTAGATTGCCTGAAAGTGTTGTGAAATTGCCTGAAAGTGTTGTAGGTTATCTGAAAGTGTTGTAGATTGTTTAAGAATGTTGCAAATTTTTTGAGACTGTTGCAGATTGTCTGAAAGTGTTGTAAAATACTTAAATGTGTTGTAAAATTGCCTGAATACGTTGGAGATTATCTGGAAGTGTTGTACATTGTCTGAGAATGTTGTAAATTGTCTGAAACTGTTGTAGATTGCCGCATTGTTGAATATTTGAAAGTGTTTTAAAATGCCTAAGTGTGTCGCAGATTATGGGAATTTGTTGTAAATTGTCAGAAACTGTTGTAGATTAACTGGAAGTGTTGTAGATGGTCTGAGAATGTTATAAAATGCCTAAATGTGTTGTAAATTATCTGAATGTGTTGTAGATTATCTGGAAGTATTGTAGATTGTATGAGAATGTTTAAAATTGTCTGAGAATGTTGTAAATTGTCTGAAACTGTTGTAGATTGCCGGAATGTATCGTTGATTGGCAAGGTGTTTTATAAATGGTCTAAAACTGTTGTAGGTTGTCTGATAGTGTTGTAGAATGTATTGTTTTGATTATCGAAAAGGGTTCAAAAGTGTTGTAAGTTATCTGCAAGAGTTGTACATTGTCTGAAGGTATTTTAGATTGCCTGAAACAGTTGCTGATTCTCTAAACATATTGTAGATTGCCTGAAAATGTTGAAAACTATATGAAAGTGTTGAAGACTGCCTGAAAATATGATAAATTTTTAGTATCTATTTATTAATTTATTTAATTATTATTTGTTTAAATGTTTATACATTATAAAATGGTCAAAATAATTTTTTTTCAATTTATATAATAAACAAAAGAATAAGTACAAAAATAAAAAAATGCAATTATTTCTTATTTTTTGATTGTTTTTATCTATTTATTAACTTAAACTTTTATTCACATATTTTTATGTACATATATATTTATTCAATTCTTAATTTATTGTCTCATTTGATTATTTATTAATATATTTAAGCATTTTTTTAATTTGTTTTTGATGTTTAACATTTATTATAAGTAAATAATTATCTTTATAATTATTTAGATTACAAATGCCGTAAAGTGGGAACAAACTCTGCACATTTTGTACGAACGGACACAAGGTAAACACTTTCCAAGAACCTTTGAATGCGGTCCGGGCAAAAGTCTGACAACGATATTGAAACAAGTCAATGCAAAAGCTTGGGACAGCTGTATGAATATAGAAGCATAGAAAGGTAATCTCAAAACAATTATTTTATTATTAGTTATATGAATATAGAAGCATAAAAAGGTAATCTCAAAACTATTATTTTATTATTAGTTGTATGATTATAGAAGCATAAAAAGGTAATCTCAAATCAATTATTTTATTATTTATCCATGTTTCGTAAATAATTCACTTTATCCATGAACTTTTGCACTCTGTCTTCACACAAATCGTTTCCCCAATATCCACCGGTCTTAAAATGAGACCCCACAATGACAGCATCTGAGTTTGGAAAATATTTTTGTAAATTGTCTTCTGTTACTCCAGAACCTACAATAACTGGAGTCTCTTGACAGTGTTTTTTTATTTCTTGGACACAATTGTGATCTGCAGGATCACCTGTGGAGTTTCCTGTTATAATAATTCCATCGGTTGAAAAGAATTGTGCAGCTTTTGCTGTTTCTACGAGTGACACGTCTTGAGTTATTGCGTGGGCACTGGGAAAAGGATAAGAGAAAATATTATAAATGAAGTATTTAGGCAAAAATGTTTATAATAAAGTACTTAATTTAAATTGGCAACCATATGCTGTATATTGGCAACATGTATTGGACGCATAACAGTAAAATTTGGGCTTGTAACAGTAAAGATTCTAAGTTTGACATGCATCAAATTGAGAATTTTAAGATTTGAACACATATAAGTTAAGATTTTGAAATTTGGGCGCATTACAATAAAAAAAATTGAGACGTAGATGCATAATAATGTAGATATTGATTTGGACTCACAAGGGTGAATATTTTAAGATTTGAACGCGTACAAAAGGAGATTTTAAAAGTAACGATCGTAAATCTGCAGAAAAATAATATTTGAATGAATAATTAGAGGAGTTTTTGAGAATAGACACATAAAAATGAACATTTTTTATTTATAATGAATATTTTAAAATTTGGACTCATGACTCTGGACGCATAAAAGTAAATATTTTGATATAAAAAAGTATTAAATTATAAAATTTAAGATTTGAATGCAAGACAGTAAAATTATATGCATAAAAGCAAAGATTTTAAGATTTGGACGCTAAAAGCAAACAATTTAAGATTAACGAGCGTAAATTTAGTGAAATTAGGATTTGGTCGCATAATAGAGCAGATTTTAAGATTGGAATGTATCATAGTGGAAAAATTAAGATTAAAAATCGAGATTTATAAGATTTAGACGCATAAAAGTCGGGATTTTTAAGATTAGGACGCATCAAAGTAGAAAAAATTAAGATTTGGTCGCATAATAGAGCAGATTTTGAGATTTTTAAGAATTTTAAGATTGGGATGCATCATAGTGAAAAATTGAGATAAAAAATCGAGATTTATAAGATTTGGACGCATAAAAGTGGAAAAAATGAAGATTTGATTGCATCAAAGTCGAAATTTTAAGTTCGGGATGCATAAAATTGAAAATGTGGAGATTTAGAAGCATAAAATTGTAAAATGAAGACATGATTTAAATTATACCTGTGTTTCTTTTTTATGTCACTCCACACCATTATATGGTCAGCTTGCAGAAGTCTCCGGTATCGCAAAAGAGAGCCAGCACAAGCATCTGTGTAGCCTTCGTCACCTATGTGACCGAATACAAAGCCTTCGCAACGAATAAAATCTAAATTACACACAAGGCTTACTGCTAGGGCTTCTTTATTACCACAAGCTAATATCTAAAAAATAATAAATATATATGTATATATATATATATATATATATATATATATAAGAAATATTTCTATTATTACCTGTACCCCACATGGGGTATTTGTCGGCAAGCATTTCTTAACTTCTGAACAAACTTTTGTCATGGTAGCGACAGTTTCTGGAGTGAAGCTTTCTGATTTCTGATATGGCACATCATGCATATTTTCAAACATTATACCATCCTGGTTGTTTCATGACAATAAATAATATAAAATATAATAATAATAATAATATTATTATTATAATAATAATAATAACTATTGCCTTGGGCGTTGAATAAATAAATAAATATAAAAAGGGGTTTAAGCATTAAAATTTATTCTTACTAGATGGTGGTAATAGAACAAATGAGTCACCACATATTTATTAAGGGATATTTTTAGACTAACTGTTAAAAATTAAAAAATCCTAATTATCATGTCGGGGTCACTTCTTTGGAGAATTAACTGAAAAATCAAAAATAAATGAAACTTTAAGTAATATTAGATTATTTTGAGTAAAATACAATACTAAATTTAATTAATAAAAATAAAAAACTATACAAATGAGTAATAATATTAACTGTTTCTATTTTATTAGAAATGCTGAACTAGTAATTTACATCTGGAAATACATGAAATGTAAAAATAATCAGCAACTTATCTTGTTGATTGTATTATTTAACAAGTTAGAAGACTCTTTTGGTCATTTCAAGTTTTGGACGCAAAAAAGTTGGGAATTTAAGATTTGGATGCAAAAAAATGAGAATTTTGAAATTAGGATGGGTACACAAGGGGAGATTTTAAAAGTAAGAAGTGTAAATTTGGAATAAAATATTATTTGGATGCATAATAGAGCAGATTTTGAAATTTGGACGCATAAAAGTGAACATTTTAAGTTTATATGATATTTAATATCATGTTTTAATTTTTAAATAATAACTTCAATATAAATTTCAACATATGCAAGTGAATTGCATAATTTTATTTAATAAGTTTAATAATTAAACTGGTGTTGGAATCAAAAATAAAACACATGATTGCATTGAAATATTTAAACTAATGACTTGTGTCGATATAAATTGAAAGTACAACTTACGATAGTTAAGCAAATGACATCATTCATTGAAATGATTTTATATCAACGTTAAAGTTCTAAACTAATTCTATACTATAAAATAATCATAACACATATTAGATTCATAATATTCCTTTGTCATATTTAATTGTTTCATTATTTCAATTGTAACTTACAATTTTGTATTTAGCATAAAGTTGTGCTTCCTTGCAAGCTCTATCGATGATTTCTTGTACACTGCCATTGTACTTTGGAGTACCTTAATATATATGAATTTATAATAATTTGTAAGATATTATAATATATTTATGCAATAACATTTCAGATGATGATAGATATATAAATATTATCAAAGAAGATTTTTAACAGGCATTCATCCAGTTAATAAAAACCAAAAAAGTAAAGCTAAAACTAGCTAACAAATTATTCAAAAAACTAATAAGTGTTTTGTTCGTTATGTGTAGTTTTTGTGTTTTGTTTTAAATAATAACAAAATAGTTAATCAGTGATTTTTGTTCAAGATAATATTAATGAATGTGATTTTTTTATATTCTGAAGAAGATTCAAACCAGGACTTGAAACATATTATAAGGAAAGTTTACTAAATAAACTTGTCTAAACTTAGCTTAGTTTTTTGGATTAAAAACTGGATGGATGCCTGTTGAGAAACTTTTTGGTTTATAATATTCATATATATAAATATATGATCGCCCCACAAGAATTTACTCATATATATATATATATATATATATATATATATATATATATATATATATATATATATATATTTATATATATATAATAAATGTTAAATATGAACAATACAACACTCAGATTTTTAACACACACTTTATTTGTTAATTACAGACGTTTCGATACATTGGTATGCCTCATCTTCAGTGTAATTTCAAAACAGTTACTTATATACTACACATTCTTTAATATTTTATTTAAATTACATTTTATTTTTAAACACCAACTATCACTTATAGAGCTTGACACAGTACTGAAACATGTGAAACATACAGAAATATTTTAAACAAATCTTAAGTATCGAAAAAAAGAGACATGATGGGTATTATTATAATGTAAACAAATGGAGTGAGCGATCGCATACTAAAATCAACAAATGTGAAAACAGATTAATTTATTGAAAAGAATAAGATAAATAAAAAAAATTATAAATTATTAACAATGTTTATACAAGAGTCGTGTAAAATATTTGTGTCGGTTCTCAGAGAACTTTTAAATAAAATATTAAAGAATGTTTTAGTATATAAGTAACTGTTTTGAAATTACACTGAAGATGAGGCATACCATGGTCTCGAAACGTCTGTAATTACCAAATAAAGTGTGTGTTAAGAATCTGAGTGTTCTATTATTCATATTTAACTTTTAATATATATATATATATATATATATATATATATATATATATAAATTAAATTATATTTTTTATTCACAGATTTTTCCACAACTGTTGTTGATCTATAACTAGGAGCCCTAAGAAGATAGGTTTTAGGATTTAAGTGTTAAAATGTTACTATTTTTATACAAAGAAATATAGAAAAATTGTACTCAAATAAAATATATTATTATGTGATACATTTATTAATGGAAAGAATTTATTAAAAGAAAGAAATTATTAATAGCAAGCTTCTTATATATCTTCTCATATATCTTCTCCATAAACAACTGGAATTAGTTTGAGATTGATCTTTCAATAAAAATACATTAATAATTTTAACTGTTATTGAATAATATTTGTAACAATTATGATTGTATAGAAAGAATTAAATTTTTAAAGAATAAAATTAAATAGAAAAAATTAACTATTAGTTTTATAGCAGAAATTAAATTTTAATATTTTATTGAGTTTAAAAATAAGAGTTGCTTAAACGTACCTGGTAAAGCTCCAACGTGTACCATTCCAACGACTGCACACTTGATTTGTCCAAAGACTTTTCTAAACTGGTTCATTGTTATTATAGTAATACTTCTATATAATAATTATGCAATAATTTTTTTTTAAATAAAATTATGGAAGTTGGAAGCAGAGGGTAAAAAAACTAGTAGTATTAATTTGAATTAAAAATTAATTAAATATAAAATTGCATGTGTGTATAAGTATTATATATATCGTAAAACCATGTTAAGACAAATACCAGAAGGCTAAGCTAAAAATGCCTCTTAAGCAAAAAAGCGTATTAAGCGGGATATGTTATACAATATGTTTCAAAGTGCATTAGCTCTTAATGTAGTTGCATACTATGCTTTTAACAAGGTTTTGCTATATATAGTTGTATATTTATTTATTTATTTTGTGCAAGTGGTGTAATACAGGATTATATATAAAAAGTGTGTTCTATAAATATTTCAATGTAAGTACACAATTTATTTCTTCGTATACAAAACACTATGATCTTTTGTCATTGATAAAAAATATTTTAAATATCACTTTTATCGTATTTTTTAAATAAATATTAATATATATAATATAAATAATTTATATTTAATTTGCAAGATTTCCTATACCAATAATATTTTTAGGTTATATATTTATATTTATAGGTTATGTTATTAAAACAGGATTAAAACGTTAAAAATACGCCTGATACGTATGAAACTAGATT